GATAGATAGATAGATAGATAGATAGATAGATAGATAGATAGATAGATTGATTGAAAATGGGCCATTGTTAGGCTCTCCCTATTGTTGTATGCTCAGAACATTTCCCCTTAATTTGGAAGGGAGAGATGCTTTGTGCAGGCAAATTAGGACATCTTTCCCCACGACTTTGAATTCATTATTAAACAAGCACAGTTGTCTTCCTGCTGGGAGGAGGATGGCAGTGTGAAGTGAGGATTAGGAGAGCTTCTTTGCGAGTGACGTCATGCGTGAGACCACTCCCACATGTGGCTGTGACAGAAGCACTCAGGAACTGCTGCCACTAAAGTCCAGGGAGCGGTAGTTGATGATAATGTAGACCTCACACACGTATAATTAGGATTATCCGGAACAGTGACCCACGGCTGTGATCTGCGGGTGAGTAGAAATGAACAAATGCTCAAACCGTGGCCGCATCTGCGCGGAGGCAGACTTTTGCAGGGGCCAGCAGACGATTAGGTAGCCTTACAGAGGGTTATTTCAGTGGGGCAGGATTGGAACGCATGCCTGAGCTGCACCAGTTAGTCCCTCAAAGCAGCAGATAGTTCAAAATGCTGGCTGTTTGTTTTGATGACAGATAAACAAGTTAATCCTACAACAAAATCCAAAATATGAGGTAAAGCTTCCATTACGAGTGTTTCTGTACAGAACTTTGGAGTTGTTTGGGAAAAGATCTAAAACATGATGATGTTTTAAGATTTTCTCTTTTAGTGTTATCTGTCAAACAGTGTCCCTGTTATGGACTTTGTGTTGCCATTAGGCCTGAAAGAAAAACTAGTATGAGGAAAAATTCTATGTTTTGGGGGTAATTCTTGTTCTTTAATAATTTCTGTGAAAGTTTCTTTCCAAGTAGAACTTGAACATGGCATCAGTTAAATGGAGGCACCATGTATTTGAGCTTCAGAAGCACGCAGCATAGATTTTTAGCTTGGAATATGAACATAATATCAAATATTTCCATTTCTGTTGCTTAACTCATTCAATGTGTATGCTGAAAGCTTGATCACCCTCTCGGTATGCACAGTTCATTCCGCATACACATACATATGTCTATCTAACTTAGAAAAATATCTGAGCTCTTACTTTCAGCCTCAGTTGGAAAAGCAGACTTCCTCCTCGTGAGCTATAGATTTCTCCTAAGCCTGGACATCAATGCTGCAACATACTCGGAAATGGTGTGATTAGAGACTCTCTATAATCCTACATGGCTCACTTGGTACCTAATAGAGCCATCACTGAGCATTCTGGTCCTTTGCAAACCCTGTACAGAGGGACGGACGCGTGTTCCCAGGAGTTTAGACCTATTTGTGTGTTCGTGTGAGGGGAAATGGGATGACAACATGTAATTTTGCCCCGTCCGCGTCACACGGCGCTCCTTCTGAGTGAGATGCCGGCTGACACATCAGGGAACAAGAGCAGGTCGTTTCTGTTAACGTGAAACAAAGTGGCCCGGGTGGCTGCGCTCAAGCTCAGAGGCCAAAGCTCGGGCCAGGCTGTCAGTAGTTTGGGAGATTATTCGGCTATCCTTTGCTAATCCTTACCCCAGTGGTGTACTCGTGTTTTTGTTCCGCTAGAGCAAGCATTCTACAGAGTCTGTACGTAATGGAGTTAAAAATAGCAGTGCTCTAAGAAACATATTAGTTAACCGAGAGGCTCCTATAGTCCTTATTCTACGCTGCTGGCTTCAGAGCATCAGACATCCATTCATTCACACATTTTGCTTTCAAAATTCAGGGACTGTACCCCATCCATTAAGTTAGGAGAAGAGTATGCCCTAATTAGTTAGCTGGTCCATCAGATTTGTCATAAATGACACTCATTAAGACAAGTGTTGACTGTAAACTTTGGCAAGAGTCCTTGTTTGTGAAATTTAAGTGTAATTACGCAGGCGTCATTCTGCAAAATAAGTGAGGCTGAAGCTGATGGGAGGCTTGCGTTGCTGCCCCCGTGGTACATTTCAACAAAGGAAACATCCCCTGCAAAAGAATTTCAAAGCTAAGCTTGAAGTTATGCCGCTGAGCCTCATATTACCCTCCACTGAACCTGCTTGGCTTTTTTTCCTCCAGCGTCCCCGGACCCAAAAGTCTCCCCTTCCTCCCTCCACCGGTTTTCTCTTCCAGCCTCATCTCTCTCTCTTTCGTGGCGTTTCAGGATGACAGTTCGGTGAGCAGCGAGGACATGAACAACGCTGAGCCCACATGGGTAGCAGCTGAGCAGCCCGCAGTGCCTGAGCCCAGTCCGCCCAACGGGGAGAGGGTCAGCAACCCAGCGGCGGCCATTAAAGAGGAGGACGGTAAGAGACGGCCTCCCGTTCGGCTTTATTTACGTCTGCCATTTGAAAGTATTCTTGCTGAAGAGGGAGCGAACAGATTGTTGTTATGCAGGAAACAGCTTGCCTTGTTCTTAATCCAAATAAATCCACTCTTACGGGGGGGCGGGATGGCACCTCAGCCCCAACCCACTCTGCACCCCTCTCCGCCGGCGCACACAGCTTTTGAAAAGTAGGACAAAGGCTGATGTTAACCCCCTCGCAGATTAGGCCTCATAACGGGAGCTATCCAGAAAGGGGGCAAATCGGGAGAAATTGAAATGTTTTTTCTCTGACGGGCGTAGATGTTAAACACGTGGAAATCCTGTGATGTCAGAGCATTTAGACGGCTGCAAAAGCCGTCATTTGTCAGGCACCGGGGAGCCGAGGCTCCCTTCCCCCATCAGTTCCCTATCCCTCGTGCTGTAAAAACTCCTAATGTTCCCTCTTTCTATCCTTACTTTTATTTGTCTTGACAGCTGACCCCAATACACATGTATCTAACAGTTTCAGAACTCTACGGCGTTAGGCAGGAAGTCCCATCCCCCTGACATGAGACACCCACGCTTGCTCGCTGCAATCGCGGCTCGTAGTAAACAAACCTGAATTAAAAAGGCTAAGAGATGAGAAAACGTCCGCTCTGCTCATTTACGTCTCTGCGTCCCCACCCCTCTGCCAGATGACGACTCCTCGGAGAGCAGCAGCGCCAACGGGCTGCCGGCCCTGACCTCCCCGGAGGTGCTGGCCGCGGGAGGGATCGGGACCCCCCCAGACGGCGGGGCCTCCTACGGGGAGGCGGCGGAGAACGGCGTGAGCGCCCCGCTGGACTTCAGCACCACCTCCTCCTCGTCCTGCTCGGAGGATCAGCAGCCGGTCAACCTGAGCGACAGGCTGCTCCCGGCCGGAAACTCGCCCCCGGATCCCTGCCCGGCAGACCCCACCCGGAAGTACCCCATGAAAACAGAGTTCAACAGCAAGGTGAGGACAGGAGAGGCGGTTCTCCGTCGAAGTGGCTGTCTGTGGGCATCGACGAATGACCGTTGTGTGTTTTTTTTTCTAGTCCCCTCCTTACAGCTCAGGAAGCTACGACTCTGTGAAGACCGAACTGAGCATGAGCGTGGAGGACCTAACCTCTAGCCGGGCACAAATAATCGACGATGACGATGACGATCACGATGACCACGATGACAGTGACAAGATCAACGACGCTGAGGGGATGGACCCAGAGAGACTTAAAGCATTTAATGTAAGTGGCCAGTCAAACCATAGCAGGATGTAATTAATAGAGACAGAGTGCAGAACTCTGCTGTCATAAGCCTGCCAGCCCGGCTTTTAGATCACATATATTATCACTTGGTGGAGATTTTTTCCCTGCAAATACCATTGACGAGGAAACAGGAGCAGTGTGGCTGCGATGATGCACATTAAAGCAAACAAGCAAAGAAATCTTTCTCTGAATTAAATTTATTTCCATTTTTCCTCTTCTAATCACCACCCCCGTCCTCTTCATACCCTCTCCTTCTGCCCTACCTCTAACGCTCCCCCATCCTCCCTTGCCGTCCCTTTTCCTCTCGCTTGTTTTTCGACTCTCACACCCCCTCTCCCGACCCCCCACTTCATTGTTTCTGCTCTACATCCCTCCTCTCCCTTCCCCCCACCACCTCGCATGTGTCAGATGTTCGTGCGTCTGTTCGTGGATGAGAATCTGGACCGCATGGTTCCCATCTCCAAGCAGCCCAAGGAAAAGATCCAGGCCATCATCGAGTCCTGCAGCCGGCAGTTCCCGGAGTTCCAGGAGCGCTCCCGCAAGCGCATCCGCACCTACCTCAAATCCTGCCGCCGCATGAAAAAAGGCGGCTTTGAGGTACAGAGTGCTCCACATCTCCAGCTAAAAGTAAAGGAGCGTTCGCTTAGAAATTCCCCACAAAGTCGCGTTCACATTAAAACGAATTTCCTCCAACTCCCCCCCCGGCAGATACGACCGACACCTCCTCACCTCACCTCTGCCATGGCCGAGAATATCCTCGCCGCCGCCTGCGAGAGCGAAACCCGAAATGCTGCCAAGAGGATGCGGCTCGATGTCTACCAGCCGATGGTAAATGCCCCGGCAGTTGGTGTGTCTGAATCTGCCCAGCAGGCCTTTGAGACGTGCTCAAACGCCTCATCAAGAGGCACACTATTGTTTACAGAATAAAAAAAATGGAATTTGTTTTTCCTAGGACGAGACTGCCTCTGTTGACAAACCCATCTCGAGGGATCCGGCCCCCGTGGTGCCATCAGGGTTCACCATTTCTAGTGCAGCTTTTGCCCAAGACCAGCTCTACACCAACGGAGGCCTCAACTACAACCTGCGGGGCTACGGGACGGTGGGCAACCAGCAGAACTCTGGCGCTGCACAAACCAATGGTGAGTCTCTGAATTTGAAATAATGCTGCTAAAGAATGACTTTTCTTAATATTAGGAAGCGCAGGGCCAATGGGTGCAATGCAATAAAAACTGACTCATAAGATTATCAACTACAGACGGGTTATTCTCTTCCTGTTTGATTGTGCAGGTGGAAAAACTAATTTGTTCTGGTTTTTAGACGTTTTTTTTTTTACCTCAGAATGTTGGTATCCATTTGGTGATGTGGTATTTTGTCCCACATCTGTTCTGTTATTGTGGTTTCAACATATAATGTGCAGACTGGAAGTTTTCACCATGATGTTTACATTTTTGCACTTTGTAATTATCAAAAAAAAGGAACTCCAAATATGTAAAGAAAGAAAAAAAGATTTAAAGAAGACGACAACAAAGCAGACATGACAGTAATATCTGTATTTTTTCATCAAATTTAGACCAAAAGAGCTATTTGCTGTAATTTTTTTCAGCTGTTTTTTTCCCAGAATGCTCTGCAGTGTTTTTTTTAATAAAGTTACAAGTAACAGAACAAACGTAGGACAAAAAAAGAAAAAAAACACTAGTAAGAAGTCTTATGAGAGGATGAATCCATTCCCCAAAACCTGAACCTCAGTTTTATTATGAAGTAATGTGGGATCGTGTTAACAGAGCAAAAGAGTTTCAGAATGTCATTCTCTAACCCTAGTCTAGAGACCTACATCAAGATATTACAGGAGAGCTTAAAGAATCTAATATTAACTTTTTGGACCTTTTTCCATCTTAGTTAGTTTGTATGTGTTTTAATAAGCATCTGCACATATTTCCTATTTTTTGGTGATATAAAAGTAACAGGGCTGGCACAAAACTTTCGCATTAGGCTTAAGGAAGTGTGTAACCGTCCCGGATCTGTTCACAGGTCCCACAGATCTGAGTATGAAGTCCATCGGCCCAAACTCCACCTCCTCCAACTCTAACAGTCACGGTCAGGGCGGCGGAGGGGGCGGGGCCTCAGCTCAGCTCAGCCTTCCGGAGGTGACGGCGGTGAGGCAGCTCATCGCAGGCTACCGAGAGTCCGCGGCCTTCCTGCTCCGCTCTGCAGACGAGCTGGAAAACCTCATCCTGCAGCAGAACTGAGTCTGAGCCAAACCGTGCCAACACCCACCCGCCCGACCCCCCCACCCCCTCAGCCTGTCCATACTCGTTGCTTTGTGTCATGCACGTTTGGGCAGACGTTCGAACACACACACACACACACAAACACACAAAAAAAAAACAGAACACAGTTGTGATCCTTCAGTGCACAGTGGGTCCTGTAGGTATGGTACCTTGACTTATTCCCACGTGTCCATGTGTTTAGACAGGCCAAAACATATCACAGGCTGGAAAATGTTTATTTATGCATTCGGTTCACTTTGACCTTAGTGCCCTGTTTTGTGTAGCCATTCATCCCATTCGTTTCATTTTGCCACCGGAACCTCCATTCGTCTCAGGAAGTGATGATCTGTGTGAAAAAAGAAAGAAAAAAAAGATGTTTGTTGGTACACAGACTGAGGTGTTGAATTAGCTTGATTTCCGCCACACACCAAATCCGCTGATTTGTGCAGACGTGTGAAGAAGCAAAGGGTTAAACGGCTGTGAATCAGCGCCATTACTTCTTTTCTATTTTTACACTAGTGTAAAATACGCTGTACATTGGCATAGGTTCGATTGGGTTGTCTCGAGTCAAGTCATTTCTAAATCCATAAAGGAATCGCTGCTAAAAGAGGTGGCAGCCCGCCACTGACCCGTTAACCTCAACAGCCTCTCCTGTCCTTCTCTCCGGAAAGGAGAAAAAAAAAACATTTTAAAAAGGACAAAAAAAAGATATTGAGAAAGAAAATGAACAGGATGACAGTGTCAGGTCCGTCCGATGTGTGGTCAAAATTCTGCTTCGTTGGAGTGGCTGCAGGCACTTCAGACTCATTTATCCAGTGCGACTTTCCTTTCAGTTTTTCGTGGTGAATCTTTCTATGATGGGCAGTTTCTCATTGCTGAAAAGGAGAAGGGCTTTTAAGAAGCCTGGGTATGCAAACTGAGGTCAAACACACCTGTCAGGGAAAAAAAAATAGGAGAATAATGTTGTGCTTGGACTCTCGGTTTAGAACCAGTGCTACTGGAAACTAGAAAAAGGTGCAATATTGGAGATAATCAGTAATGCTTACTGAGTTGAGTATGTTTTAAGAGAGCGATACACCACAATCCTCTCATGCTCTAACGGTCAAGTTGTAAAAAGAAAAAAAAAAAGATATCCCATGCAGCATTGTAGCCTAATTCAATGTTGTCGTTGTTTGTTGTGAATTCTGACCTCATGACTGAGGCACTTTCATGAACTGGGATCAGTCCTCTGTTGCGACAGAAAGAAAATGGGACCTGGCAGATAAATGAGACTTGTTGCACGTCTTTTTCTTTTCTTTTCTTTTCTTTTCTTTTTGGGTTTCTTTTTTTTTTACTTCAAAACATGTTTGGGTGGTCAACTTAGAGCGGCACATACAGAAGAGCCCACACGCTCCCGCCACCGAGAGTCAAACAGATGCAGCCTGAGGAGGCTCAAACACACACACTCCGTCTTCTGTCTGTCCGTCCGTCCATCCATAGTGTCTTCTACGACCTCGGATTTTCAAAACTACGAATCACATCTGCATTTTTTGCGCGTCGTGTCTGAACGCACACTGTTTGAGAAGAAGCAAGAGACAATCTTTAAAAATCGCATCCCAGTTTACTCTCCGAGCTCTCTGTAGTGGTGTGTGTGTGTGTGTGTGTGTGGTTATGTGTGCATGGATTTACGTCAGTGTGCGATCTAAATACACACAGGAGTTCTCAAAGCAGACCTAGAGCACAGTCTCACAACTTTAACCGATGAGTCACTCAGCACAAAAACACTTGTGTAAGTGTGTGTGTGTGTATTATTTCCTGTATACCTTTTCATTTTGGTTGTTGGTGTGAGCTTTGGTATTAGCGGTGTGCCACTTTTTGTGTTTTGTGTGCATGTGGAGTGACCCAGTTTGTACAACGCCAATCTGAGAAGATCCAATTCCGTCGGCTGAAACATTCCAATGACAATGACTCCTTAAGCAGCTCAAAGTGGCTCGCACCTTATCGATTAGTCAAAGCTGAAAGAGATATTTTTCTGTATTTATCACAAATCTTAACTCACATCCCATCAGTCTGTTTCGCTCTCAGAGTTTGTCCCACCACAAGCCTAGTCTGGAGCCGGTCGTCCATGTCCTAAACAACCATTTTCTTTCTTTTTACTTTTTAAAATTGCCATGCAATGATTGGACCACGTAACCTTTGCATTTGAATTCTATTATCTATTGCAAGTTTGGAAGCACTTTATAGCTCAGGATTAAGGTAACTTAAGACGTCGATTTTTGCGTCCTTACCTCATTTGGGAGTATCCGCTTCAGTTCACACACAACAGAGAACTGATCATTCGAATAGGAAAAAAGACAATTTGACACAGCTCTCAATCAGAGGCAGTTTTCATCAGTCAAAAACGGCTTAATCGGAGCTCAGTTCGAACACAGAATTGTGCACGGTCCATCTGAGGCTCAGAGATGGAAGGATGACTGAGTTAACGAGACCACACTCATTCAACTCTACATGCAAAAAAAAAGCACACCTAGCTGCTACATCCACAGGCAAACAAAAAAAAAGAATAATCATATGAAGGATGTAGAGAAAACCAGCAAATGATGACATTAAGGTTTCAGATCTGTCACATGAAGCTTTTTCTCTTCGTAAGTAAAGTTGAAAATGACCCTGTAGGTGCAGCAACACACTATTTATCGAGCTGTTTGACTGTTTGGGTAAAGACTCAAACATTGAAGGGAGGTATAACTCACAAAGACTGCAAGTGTCATGTTTTTTCCTCTTTGACCCCCCACGAAAAAAACAATTGTGAATCCCTTAATGGACATAATGTGGGATCTCTTTGAACCTAGGAATTTCCCATCTTGCAAAGCTATGTCTGCTTACCTCATCTTGCTCGACTCTCCTCCTCCCCCCCGTTCTGAGCTCAGAGAGATGAAGTCATAGATGAGTCCTCACACGTCTTCCTCGTCTTTCTCCAACCTCCTTGTTTGTTACCGTAGCCATAGCGGATCCTCTTCACGTCATTGTCAACCTCAGTGACAACCTGCTGAAGCTCATTCTCAGAACCAAACATTTGCCTGCAGACTGGTTTTCTGTCTACTACGCTGAGCAACGTTTTAGCTGTGCGCTGGAGTTACTGTGATCAACGGCAACCTCTTGTTGTCACGTCGTTGTTTGGTTCCGTTCTGTTTTTGTTTTGGTCTTTTTTGTTTGTTTGTTTGTTTTCCAATGATGCCCAATGGATTTTCTCTTTGTATTGACTGGACATTGTAATCTATCGGTGTTGATTAAAATGCCCTGGTAGCTTGTGGATTGCTAAAGTGGTCAGATAAATGTACTGTATAGCTGTACAAAGAGTGATAAAAGATGTTTTAAACCTTTCTTTTTTTTTCTGTGGGTACAGCACTGTTGAAAAAAAAAAAATCTAAGTGGTTTTAGCCCTTGCCTGTTTTAACTTATCATTTTGTGATGGTCTGTATTACTTCTATTGTTATTTATATTATTTGAATTGTTGCCTCCCCTGCACCGATAAGAGACTGTAGCTCTGTGCAGGGGGTCGTACTGTAAACCTGTGTGAAGCTTTGTATTTTCCCCTCTGGTTTTGGACTCAGTGAAAGTGTGATGTTTACATGTACAGTTTTTTCAGGATATTTTGCGTTGTTTTGTTTTGTTTTGTTTTTTGGCAATTTATCCAAATGCTTTCCTCACCCTCCCCCCCCCTCATCTATTTCCCTAATCTGTGTGCATTTGCCTAGATATTTTCCTTTTGTTGTTTCATTGCATCGAGTGCAGACGTGACCTCTTTGACGGTACTCGGTCACGTGGTCAGAGTGTGCATTGACGGCCGGCTGCGGTCAGCTCGGTGTTGTGACGGCTTCGAGCATTTCACTAGGTCATATTAAGTAAATGGGAGCTTCCCAACTTCTCAAAGTGGACCAGCAAAGATTTATTAAGGATTAAGACGACTTTTGTCAACTGTTTTCAAATACTGTCGTGGCCTAAACGGAGAACGGTGGGGTGTGGGTACATTTAAGAAACTACATTAAGTGCTCATAATCTTTTAGTATCCTGGCTGTGTTGTCTGGGAATACTCCTTGTCCTTAACCCGACTGGTGCCCTGAAAGGTACACTTTGACCTGTTGTAATATCTCCTTGGTAACATAAAAGCCATTCCCCTCTCCTGGCCTTTTAAGGGGAACCCATAAACCTCAGGAAATACTGAATCTCCAAGTTTAGTTTTATCCGCTAATTTCTTCTGAGATAAGTCTCTAACAAAAACCATTAACATTTATATGAGATGTCTATTGTTTTGTACATTTATCATTGTGATTTAAAAGTGGAGCTTTTTCCAGTACCTGTGACTTAATATTTTGATTTTTTTTTTTGGAGTGTTTATAAGTATGGATATTTATTATTATATGTGAAACTACAAAAAGACAAAAGAAAAGGTTGAACCTGTTTCATTTGTATGTTTCATGCAAAACTGTCCAGGTGAGATTCTATCTGCCTCTTACATATCACTAATGAGGGACCTGTGTTTGTTTGGAAATAGCGCTTTTTCAGTGTTGCATCAACGCGATGAAAACAAAACAAAAAAAGTTTTAAAAAAATGAAGAAAAAAAAAAACCCTGTGGTTTTCCAACTGCAGAGTTGCAAGGCTCTCCTCTTCTCCTGAGATGTCAGTAATTGAATAAAATAGTGCGATGAGCTATCAAAGTGAGACTTTGCTTGTAGTTTCCTTTCTTCCTTTCACGCCACCCTACACTTGAGACTTCCACAATCTCGCACAAGAGGGCAGCAGGATCCCAGTAAAGAGACCATGCGCTGTTTGCAGAGGTGACAATCTAAAAGAAAATAAAACCTTCAATGTTCAGATACTTGCACAAAGTTTACACCTAATAACACTGCCTGTTTGTTTTCTGTTTGTGTGATGGCACACTGTTAAAGAAAGCAAAATCCACTTCTAAAAACTTCTATCACGGCAGTAATTCTGCAGGTTTGGGTAGCAGCTCACAGCAGGAAGGTATTCCTCGTTCGATCCTGTCCAACCAATTTCACAAATTCGTGCTGATCCCAATCTGCTGTTGCAGAACCGAACCTCTCAGCCCCATCTCCCAAGAGCTTGGAGGTATTTAGGCTGGATGCTATCGGTCCAGTATGGCCGAAGCACTGCAAAGGTTCTGGTCCGGAGAAACCAGAGTCGTGGGATCCTGTTTGTGACGGCAAACTGTTGTTTTTTTGCTTAGTCCGTCTGAGGAAGTGAGGAATAGAAATGTAGTAAAAAGGAGAACGTGAATCGTAGGACGTACCAAAGCACTCTGCCTCTTCAGAAAAATAAATATTAGCACCAGAATCTAGTCATCAAGGCCTAATCTTCCTTTAAAATAAAAGAATAGTAAGCACTTCAAGGGTACATGTGTCATGACCAGTTTACTCCTTTTTCTTTGTGGGACAGTAAACAGTAAGTGCTGAGAGAGTACATGAGTCATATTTAAACAGTTACATCTGTGGTTACTGGTATTTTCCCCCCACAATCCTTAGCTAGAGGCCTTTCTTTGAGGAGGTTGTGTCCTCTCCGGTGCCTGCATGGCTTCTCTCTTGGTAGTCCGGCTTCCATCGGTTGAGTCCAAAAGGCCAATACCCTGCAACTTTTAAAAGGTTCTGCATCGACACCATTAGGAGACCTGTGCAGAGCTTAAAAATCTTTGGAATTGATTTGTTTAATCGGAATGTGTGTGTTGAAACAGGAAAACATCTCAAGCCTGTAGGACAGCAGCCCTTGAGGACCAGAGTTGGACACCCCTGACATACATCATAAGAATGTTTGTTGATTCCAAACTGATCCCATGCGAGCACTGTTGAATGAATTATTCTTTTGGTATGAATTACAAATCAGCAAATAGTCTGATGAACAGCAGAAGGGAATATGTGTGTTTTGTACTTATTAGTATTTGTACCATAAATGTCTAAAATACAAAAAAGATACATGCATTTATATATTGGAGCTGCATGAACTCACTCAACAAACAAACATAAATCGGCTCCCAGAAGTGTTTTTACAAGTTTTTAGAGCAACGTTTGGGAAACCTAACCCTGATCATACAGGAGAAAAAAACCTTGAGTGCAGAGTCTTTGGAGAGTTGTTTTTCAGAACAGTTTAGGCCATGCAAAGTACACAAACAGAAGGCTTAAAATACACAACTGTGGACTGTGTGAATAACTTATCACGCTGGGAGCACGACAGCATGGAGGTGTTTTTGTTTTGACCCTGAAAGCCTCACTGAAACGTGGCGCTCTTGTCCACGCTCATGGGTCGTGCTGCAGCTCAAATAGAAACCTAAAACAGGACTCCACCTTTGTCCCTAAAAAACAGCCTGAGCCCCTATTACCTTAAAAAAAAAACGCAACCAAACATGGAAAGTTACTTAGTTATAAGCTGCTTCTAAAAACTGCTGTGCACCGGATACCTTTTAGCTCTTATCCGTGGAGTATGGACTTGTACACTTAGTGAAAGTCATGTGTTGATTTGTTTGACAGCGCTGACTCATGAGCCAAATTGCCTTTGCCCCAGATTCCAGTTCATACTTGAGCCAGCATGAGCATTCAGGGAAGCCATGCTGGAATTTCGGCTGACCGTTACAAAAGCTCAAGGTCTTATGCACATAAAAAAAAAGAAACATTTTCACCTAGTACTTTAATTCCATACTCCAGGAAAACAGTGTATGATGTAGATTTGATCAACAACTCTAAACAGATACACAAACATAAAGATACAAAAACAAATGGCAAAGTGCAATGAGAGTTTATGACAACTGACACAATCATTTGTTGTATATTTCAAATATGAAGTTTGATATATGAAATTTAAGGAAGACCCCTCCTCTGCTGATCAAACTGCCAGAGTGACTAGCTTTATCATATTAAGGCACATCCAGTAACCGTCAATTTTTGGGGCGCTTCCGCATAATCCCGGTGGAGGGTGTCACATCTGAAAAGGAAACACTCCTTTTTTGGTCTAGTTCTGTCACAAGTATTAGAGTAGAAGTCCTTTAAAACCACCTATGCTAGGGGAAATGTTGATATCCCTGGTTTCTCTCGTCATTAGGGTTAGGGTTATAAGGCAAGTCTTGAAAATAGACTCACTGACACAATTGTTCCTGGTTTGACACTTAGAATAAGTGTCAAACCAGGTATATGAATCGCTAAATCAAGCTAAATAGGTAAGTCAAAAGTATGTCAACTAGAACACCCACTGTTCCCACTATTTTTATTACAGCATCAAGTTCAGCTGGCAAATGCCCAGTTGGTCAAGTTTTAGCAGCTTCGGTTTGACATCTGCTCGAGTATTCGGCGGTCATAAACTCCACCAAACACTAAGTTTAAACTCTAAACACTAATGCTAAACACTAAGTTTAGTCTGTTTCACTCTGTATTGCACTTTCTTACATTGCAGCTTTGTAATGAATCTTATTATCAAATATTATCAAAAATCTGTAGCTTCACCCTGGTATATTTAGTTGTCTTTATATCCCTGCCCTTTATAAGTTTTTTATGGTGTGCATCCGTGTTGCTTTCCTTGAACTATTTTCAGTATTTGTATTTCTGCCAACTCTGAGCAGGGAAACCCAGACCGCAGACCTGTGTGAAGGGACCCTCCTGAGACTCTGAGATGACACCCACTTGGATGGAATCACGGAACATTTCTGCGCTCAAGTTGTTTTTTGATACCCTGCCACGCAGAGAGCAGCTTTGGGGAGCATGATCATTCAGTTTTAAAATGAGTAACGCTACTCCATGACAGGAGGACATGAATAATGTCTCTGACCCCCTGGATGCTAAGGTGCTGGTTCCAGAATGAGGCCCCACTCTCCATCCAGGGATGACACTGTTTGACTTTCCTATTTGATCAGACATCTTATCTTACAACCGAACTGGACAGAAACCAGACTTTGTTCGGTCTATTCTTAGCTGTTGGTGTGCTCATTGTGGACACAGCAGATTACTTTGTAGACAAGTCCATTTCAGAGAACCAGTCAATCTATTGATCTTTTCAGATTACCAGTAAGTCTGGATCCAGAATTTAGTCACATTACACAAGACAAGATTTTATAAAGACACGAGGAGGTATAGTCCATCTGCTACAAACCAGACAACCGAATAAAAAACTGAAATAAACTGGGGAAATTGAACTATATGAAAATCTCACAGATGATAGGTTGCGCATAGATTTAATTCATTCAATTTCATTTAATTTCATGAGATTTCATTCAACTAAGAACTGTATATATTACTGAGCAGAAGTCTGAAGCCAGCAGTAATCTCTTTATATTGCTAAGGAAATTATAACAGGTTAGGCTGCAAACACAATTGTGACAATAAGGAAAAGGCAGAGTTTTTTTATCTCATAAGTTAGAAAGACATCATTTGATAGGATTTTTCGAAAAGCCCTTCTTTTGGATGTTGGCTGCCATTTGCCCTGTTTTCTTTGCTGGTGTGGCGGTCTGGGCTGTGGGGCCTGCTCATCCTGCCACAAGACCTATAGCCACTGATTTCTTCTGTCCAGTTTTCGGCAGTGAAGCAGCTGTTGATTAAAGATAGTCCGAGCAACTACTGATCAACTTTAAAAAAGAATGTCTGACTTCTTGAGAGATAAAATATAAATACATGAGCAGCGCCATAACATTTCCAGACAGTGCCTTGGCATTAGTTCAGGGAGTCGGAGTGATCAGGTTTAACTCACTCGCCTATACGTCTGCTGAGCTCAGCTCCAGCCCGCATCAGTTAATCATTCAGCTGTTTCCCATCTGCACATTCAGCTGGTAACGTGCATGCGGAGAGCCCTTCATGAACAGCTCCTGCTTGCTTCTAGCTAATTCCTGCTCGAGCCGCTATCAACGTAACACCTTCATTTCCAAATCAAGTCACACTAAATATCACCTTTGGCCTTTATGCTGCTCCTTTCTGCTCTCTGAGGGCTGACTTTTCTCTCTCCTTGCAGTAGGACTCAACAGAGGTCCTACAAAAGACTTACATCATCAATATAGAGATTACAGAAATTGCTACTTTAGTTGCATGATTACTGCCTTTGTTTTGATGACAGAGGCCTTCACTGGATTATAGATGGATAGATGGAGAAATTTGGTTGCCGTCGCAGTCCGGTCGTAGGATACAGTATTGTACAAGTAAAAAAATAAATACTGTGAAGTCCTGTGATTAGTCCAGTTCTGTGATTGAGGCTCTGACTTGGGCAGATAAGTAGGTAGGTAGTAGTAGGTAGGAACCATTTCCTGTATCGTTCTTTAGAGCAGCTGGGTTGAATGAGTCTGTTGCTGAAGCTGCTCTTTAGCTTATATGTTCTATATATATATACTGTATGTATATATATTTTTACATATATACACATGTATGTATGTTTTTCCCTTTACAAATTTTTGCTGGTGTAGTTCATATACTTTAGTTTGTGAAGGGGTTTTGTTAAATGTGACTGAATACCCGCAACTTAGTAAACATTTATTTTGTGAATGTACTTAAGGATGTTAACCCCTTTGTTTACGTCTACTCAGAAGGGATTAGTTGGAATATTGGGTAATGTGGGTTTTTTTTTGGGTCAGTAGGAACAAAACTTTATCTGGCAGCCATATAAAAAAAGCTAGACGTCTTGTACAGTATTTAGTTTACTCTGGATCCAACACGAACTTAACGCTAACTGTAGGAATTTTTCCTCATACAGTGACAGTGTGTTTATCATTGTATGTAAAATGTGCCTTTATGTATGTCAAAGGTTTCGTTGTAATTTGGTTCCGCAAGTCCAAATTACTCCAATTAGTTTACAAAATTTTAATTACACAATATAGACACGACTGGTGTCTAGACCATTTTATTTTATATTTCAAACATTAGTTTCTGATAGTGTCTACTATGAGGCCAACAGGTCAAAGTTTTTATATAATGTATCAGGGCACAGAGAGGCTGAAATGCAGTGTCCTCACATGATGATGCATGGTCTCAGGTGGTTAAATAATTCAAACCCATAGCGGCAGGTGGCTTAGGTCATGTTTCCGGGCTGCTGTAGAGTCATGGTGAAAAAAAAAACATGACTCATAGTCGGGTAAAGAAACCAGAAAACAACTTGCTCTTTAATGTAGTGATCCAAACCGCCCTAATCTTTACCCTCCACGACAGCCTGTCTTCCAGAAGACGCTGACCCACATCCAAGTCAAGATGGGGCATTACACAAGCTGCTTTACCACCTGAATTAATCGTTTCTAATCATACCGACGTTAAAGAGATTAGACCGGCCTGATAACTAGGCTGCATGTGTTTCTGCTCCAGGTTATAAAACCGCTGCCTCTCTGTGTGAGGATTACACCAAAGCACTGTACAATTGTTTTCCTCTTTTATACCTTTTACGGGAAGTGAACCCCTTAAAGAGTCATAACTGCAGCATTGATCAGTGACGCAGAAGTGGTGACTACAAGCTTTTAATTCTAATCAACATATCAGTATCAACAGTGGAAAGTCGTTTACAAGAAATAAATGAAAAAAAATGTCTTTTTACATACTTTTTTTCGGTTGTTTTTTTTTTAAACTTTTGGTCATAATACAAAGATGACATACAGAGGCAACGCAACAAGCAAAGTGTATTTACTATAGGTTACAAAACACCATCATCATCACCGACATCATCTCCATCTTCACCGCGGGACTGCGTGACGGATGGCAAGCTGAAGGTGAGACAGGTGTGTGTGTGTGTGGGGGCGGTGGTGGTGTGGGAATGGCGTCTAGGAGGGCGCCGAAGGGGTAGTCGTGGCTTCAGATTTCCCATTTTCACTGCTTTCGCTGAGCTGTCGCTTCAGAACCATCTCCCTGGCGATGCAGGTCACCTGGCCGTTGGCCACTGTGTAGGTTCCGTTCCTGCAACACAAAAGGCCATTCCAGTTTAGCCGTGACTGGCACCTCCAAGCTAACTGCTCCTGATCCGTTTGTTGGTTAAAGAACTCACTTTTGATTGTCAAATCCATTCTGAGTGCCGGGCTGGTTCTGCTTGGCAAAGAAAAACGAGGTCCACCAGTGTCCGGAGTCTTGCCTCGGAAGTGCTGCGTGGAAAAAAACAACTCTTTATCTTCAGTCGTTTTAATTCAGGAGGGGTGCACTTTTGTTTTTCACAAAGACAATGTGAACAAAATCGTGTCGCATTTTACCTGGGTGGTGTGGAATGACCTCTCCTGTGTACTCAGCGCTGCCACAAGAACTGTTACTGGAGTTGGACCCCAGGCGTCCTAGAACACAGATGTACAGACGTTTCACTTTAGTCACAGAGTTTAAAAACAAGCTTATTCCAGGGTTAGAAATACAGAAGAATGAAGGAAACTGGGGGTTCGATCTATTGTCTCTTCCTTATGTGGATATTGGGGATATTGTCACTTACTTCTGTAGTAGTCATGGGTGGCGATGAGAGAACCACTTGATGGAATTGCTGCCATTTTCTTTCGACCTTAGATGGAAAAACCGCTCAAAGATGAAATTGGTAACCTAACGGAGAGAATAGAAATGATTACTCCAAAGAAAAGAAAACTATAATGTTGATACAATTTTACCATGTTACACAATCACAGCTTGTGTAACAAGATTGCACGCAAGTACTTTTTTTTTTCATTCTTTCACCCAAAGCCACAAAGAGCCTGGCCTTCAGCTAACAAATACGAAGCATCTGCTTGGAAAGAACGAGTAGGAAGAACTGTGCTGCATTCATTCATGCTTTCAGCTCCTCGGCATAGTCGCTTGCCCCCATTCCAGAAGCAGCTGCCTTGGGAATCTGGTTTCTCATGAGTCACATAACTCAAATGTCTGTGCATGCTGCACGTCCCAGCACACCCTCTGCACGGGCAGCCTGCGTGATAGGCTGCTAATAGCTCTTGTAATAAAGGACATTTTGGGGTTAATGGCTGGCGTCACTTCAAAGTATCTGCTTTACTCAGGACGGCCACTGCAGTGGCTATACTTTAGAGATGTTAGATTAACTTAATTGAACTTAAGTGTATACCGAAACTGATTATCGCTTTTCCCCTCAAGAATCCACCCATATCCACACATTTAAAAGTAGAGTGCTGGAACAGCTTTGAGAACCGGCTCTGGGCTGTGAAGCTTAACTCTGTGGACAGCATATGGCTTTGGGGATTTCAAGGTGACCAACACAAGTCAGAGCCTAGATAAACACAGCAGGTGACGCACAAACCAGTCACTTGCACATCCCTACATTAAGCTTTATTCCTTCTATTTTGATATGGGGTCTTTTTTCTCAGAACTGGTGTTGAAATTGGGTGTCTGGGAGCTCTTACACAGGGTCATTCTACAACTGCTCGGAAAAGTTTCTTAGGTTACAAACTACTCATGTATTTAGTGAAGTTTAGACGTAAATGTGATAACAAGCTCTAGAAAAAGCCCCCACAAAACTTGAATAACGAAATAAACGTTTTAACGTGCAATCAGGGTATTATATCAAATATAATATCAATCAAAGCAAGTGGCAATTCATTTGAACTTACCTTTTAGTGTAAGATGGTGACACAGGTACCAGCTGCGGCTGTTAGGTGCGAATGGCTGAAGTAGAAGAAGAACTAGAAGTGACTATGACCCATTTGAGGGCAAACTACGAGTTTGGACCGCTGCGATCACCGCTGCTGTGGTCACGGGCTGCTGTGGTCACGGGGAGCGGACCGTGCGTGGCTTTTATAGTCTGGGAGACTCGTGCTGCTTTGACCCACGGGGCGGGGACTGATCCCCAACCCGAGGACGCGGAACGTGCGCCCTTGGTGACATCAGCCATAAAGCCAAAGGGGATTTGATAAAGTCTCTGGCAAGGACCGCTTCTGTTTTCAGTGTCAGCTAGTCTGGAAAGAAGTAATAGTGGTCTGACTAACTGAGAGGGGAAACGTTCCTTAAAGGATATAGTGAAGATAACACGGAGTCAGGGGAGAGTAGAGTATATGATAAATTCTCATGTGTTTTCTCACATGTTTTCTCATGTCAGTCAATTACGAACGATTTACTTTCTGTGACTCGTTTAATGGGCATTGGCTGATGGCAGGACCATCACTGCATTTTCTTTCCTACCCCCTGACCTCCGAACGGTTACAATACATACATTTTCATAGAGGCATACAAAAATAAATCATATCCGGGCTCCAGCACCTTCCCTGATGGTCTAGTGGTTAGGATTCGGCGCTCTCACCGCCGCGGCCCGGGTTCGATTCCCGGTCAGGGAACTTACTTTTTAAAGATAAATACTCATATTTTTTGCTTGTCCCAACAAATAAAAAAAACAGAAAAACACAACAACTTTGTACCGAGCATCCAAGCACACTATACCATGTCATAGACATTATTTGTTATCCGTGTGGTGTTAAAATATTGAGTTCTACTTTCATGGAACCTCGGACATTTACGGCTCAGTTCATTTTCGTCAGACACTTTCATCTCAATAAAGGAATCACAATTGAAACTGTACGTAAGAACGCATTTAATTTGTGTTTTTCATAAGAACAAAACTGTTAAATGGCTCTGCGATGGACTGGCGGAGCGTCCAGGGTGTATCCTGCCTCTTGCCCTTTGAATACTGGGACAGGCTCCAGTCCCCCCATGACCCCATTTGGGAAAAAGTGGTTCAGAAAATGGATGGGTGGATGGAAAACAGTTAAATGTATAGCCCTTCAGCGCCACCCAGAGGCTCGTGTGTGACAGTACTGCAATCTGTCTGACAAACAAGCCCCCTGTAAACAAAACCCCAGATAACAAACAGACACACAGTCACACTTCTATAAACTTTAATTGAAAAACATGACTTTACAAAAATATTTTGCAGACAACTGTTGCCAGTAGATGAATTCATAGTTTATCTTGGGAAAATTAAAATTCCAATTTCACTTAAGTTACACATGAACTTACTGTCAAAATTTGATGTCAAAAGCTTTTCAATCTATTAGATTCTATTAGTTAGTTTGTGCTAATTGTCAGAAATAACACTGAATAAAAATACAATGACGGAAAAAAAGATTTTTCTTCCAAAATTCATGGTTGGATATTCAGAAGTTGTTTCATTTCATGTCGAGTTGCGTACATATCTTCTTTCAAATCCAGAGGTGTCTCCATTATTTGACAGGCCTCCAGTCACCTTATCCTTTGGATGCAGAAGCAAAATCAGAATCAGAATCAGAAATACTTTGATAATCCCAGAGGGAAATTATTATTTAAACATGGATATCTAGACAGTGTGACAGTGTGTTATGATGTTATATTCCTATAAACTTACCTTCACATTGCCGACCATCTCTTCTAAAGACTTGAATGTTGAGGAATGTCTAGATAGAGATAAGCTTGCTAGTTACAAACACAAAGCCAGCGATAAATATGGCAAACACTGTTCCTTTTCCCCAAACTACGTTAGTTTACCTCATCGTTGGCACACTAATCGTGTGACTCAAGCTTCTGTATGAAAAACACAAAAAAAGAGAGTCAGGAAGACCAAAGGGGACAGAGAGTCTTAAAATACGCCTCTACTGGTAAGTGGTCAATAATATACATCTGAATTCTCATGAAAATACATCTACACAGCATGGGATCTTTCCCATGAAGGATTAACAAAAGTAAAAGAAATGCAACATGTGTAGTTGCATTAAAGAATAGGATATCTGTCTTAACACATAAAAAAGTAGCGCCGCCCGGCCCCTTTCTGTAGTAAGAGACGTAGTAGTTGAATTTTTAAAACTGAATCCCGAAAAGTTCTCATTGATAAAATGATTGTGATATTCTTACCGTTGAGGGCTTGGAAGAGGCAGGGCTCTGTAGAGTTTGCAGCATGACGACAGAGGACAGATACATGCGCACACAAACACACACAAACACACACACACACATGTTACACTTGCTTCCAGTCTAACAAAGATAACAACAGACTTAGCGACTCCCGCTGTGCACTGCTGTGATTGGATTATGGTTGTTGACTTGCTTTAAAAACAAGGCAACACTCCAAATAAAATCTTCAAGTAGAGTTAAATTTGGATTATTATTGTTTTTTGTAGGAAATAAATGATTGTGTAATGCTTGAGACTAGGAATGAGAAAAATAAATGGCAAATTGTTGCGTGTCATCAGCCTGATTCAAATCTTTTGCGTTTTAGTGTATGGAAATGCAAAACGGTAGCATTAGAAGGAGGAGGCTGAGCCAGCTCTGGGTGTACCTCATCTGGGCCAGTCTCCTGGTGATGACCACGCCCACACTGGACAGCGCAGCAGAGGTCACCTGTCCTGCCTGACAGAGGCCGTCCCGTGTCTTTGTGTACCTGCAGGCACAAATAAGCAGTGGGGCTCGGTAACTGAATGAAGAGAGGTTTCAGTGTTTGCATTTCTACATGTATGTCAAGGCTGTACAGCCGTGGAAGACATAGGGTCAAACTCAGACTCAAACTCAGATTAATAATAAGCGTATGTGCGTCAATGGCCGCTGTCCATCTGGCTGCAGAGGATCCTCTGCCCACTGCTTCAGACAAACACTCGCGGCTGTTCCTGCAGTTGCAGCTAATGCCGCTGCTTCTTGTGCTAAGCCAGCCAGCGCAACTATTAACAGGCCAGCGATCCTGTTTGATCTCGACAATCCAATCACTTGTTTCCTGGAAGGAATCCCTCTTTAACGCGCGTGTGCTTGCCAAAAAACGTCGGAATCCCCTTAGCGCTGAAAGAGCGGTTGTGTTTCTTTCAGTGCGCGATCGGATCATGACGAGCGAAACTCACACAGTGGAGTGGCTGATGTCCTCCAGGGTAGCAGAGGCTGTGAGATACCTGAAAACACACAGCACGCACGGGTTGGAGGATTACTTTACTGGATTGAGAGGACAGCCATGTGCGTTTTAAGATTATGTAACCGTGTCACGCTGTGGCAATGCATGGCAGATACACTGGTTGGATTTCTCCAGTCTTTTAAACCACACAGCATTAAGGCACTGAGCAATTATGACCACTGTATTTGCTCCCCAACATTTATGGCAGTTTGAGGAACACTTACGGGGCTGAGGTCTGGACTTCTTGCCAGCCTTTGGACAGGTTCTGTTTGATGTTGCTAAGAGGACTCAGTCCGAGCTGCTTCCTGATGTCTGCTGCATATTTTTCTTTGGACAGAAGCACTTGTCTCAAGGTCTGAATCTCATCCTCAGTCTATGTGAAAGAAAAGAGAAAGCTAAGATCAGGTCAATGGAAACACCCCATTTTGTTTTACATGCAGCTTTCACATTGTGAAAGACAGCCCAAACAAGCGGCTTTACCTTTGTAAGCTCAAACTGCAAAGTTTCCAAGTCGTCCTCCGTTAGAGCTGTGTGTGAACATCCATTTTCAGTGATCCTCGAGGAGAAGTTGATTGAGGGAGAAGCCCCGATAAAACCTTAGACATGTGGAGAATATCAACATGGTTATGGCAAGGATCATTGTGATGGATATCCATAAATGATAAAACTCGTCCCAAACAGACTACATAACCCTGTGCAAAAGAATAGAGATAGCACATGAAGCCCATCTTAAAAGATTACCATTAACAAAGGACAACCATCAAACTCTTGTTGTTACAGTGAACAACGTGTTATATAATCATTTCTAAAAGATTAGGATTTAGTGGCAACAATTGTACTTTTTATTCCTCTTAATGTCCTTCCGACATGTTTGCACTATGTAGGATACTTCACTTGCATTTTGGTTCCTTATCATTCCTAACACTAATGATTAAACACAACTAGGAATACAACCGGAACTAATGGTCTTATTCTGGTTTTGCAAAGGTACGGGCACTCTCGTGTTACAGAGCATTAAACCACACGCCAAACTACGGAGATTTACACAAGGGAATTCCGTCTAAACAAGTCACTCACAAAATATATTTTAGAGTAGATATGAAAACAGAGGTTTTGTGACTGATGAAGGTCAGTACTAACAGCACAGTGGACACGGGGGAGCTGTCCGGTGCTGAATTCCTCCGCTTGGCTAGCTAACGGCTAACTTGTTGCGCACGAGGCTATCCCTTTGAATACACTCAGAAATATAAATGTATATATATATTTAGCTGAGCTAGAATAACAAACGTATATCGGCTTATATCAAACGCCGCGTACAGAGAAGCTGTCGGTAGTTCTTACCTTGTCGGCTCATTGCTGCCTTGTCCACTCCGAAATGTTTCGACAGGCTAGTCCAGCCAACTGTTTTCCATTCGCTCACTGAGCTCAGACACTGGCAGCGAGCGGTCAGGATCAGGTGAGCTATTATTGGGTTTGGCGGCTTTCACTCTCACACAGGACAGTTACAGTGACTGACCACGGCCAGCATAAAAGAAAACCATAAAAGTCATGTAAAAACCCATTTAGCATTACATTTAAAAAAGCAATGAATGGATACATTGACTTTGTTTACACATGCCTCTATGTATAACACATGGAAAACCCCAAAGTCAAGGTGAATAAAACTGGAATAGGCTGGATGTTTTTTTTAAAGATTTTTTTTTCAGGTAGCACAAATATTTCCACAATGCAAATAATTAAATCTATCATCAGGAAGCTGGGGCAGTATCTAAGTAAAAAAGCCTTAGAGTCACAGTTAGTGCAAGAAAGGAGTTTCATATTAGACACTCTGTTTAGCTGTGATAGCCTAATACAACAAGGTTTATATTTGAACAACATCAAATCTGACACACTAACCATCACAAAAGTGAACTACTGTTGTGAACTGAAAACCTGCGTCCATCTGTTGGTCATACATGCTGACACATGCACACAGATCTACAACTCCTTTACAATCTGTAATGTAAACAGACAAACATTCCTATATGTTACAAAGCTTGCCGAATCAGTTTCTGATTCAAAATTTTGTTCATGGACAGGCTTTTTGCTGAACTGGTTAGTAAAGTAATGTGTTAATTATAGCTACTGGTTTGGTTTTAACTTACCTCCACTAACATGAAAGTGACACACGCATCACTCTATATTATCATAACACTTGATTTAATTAGGCATTAAGGCAGGCATGTACTTAACGTGAACTTGGATTAAAAGAAAACCAAATGTCCCATTGTGTCAACCATAGATGCAAATGTATACGTAAGAATGTGTTCCTTGGTTTTTACTGCTCGTGTACATGTTTTTCATTAGTTTATCTGTTTCAAACTACCTAACCAAGAACTTCATCATTCATTTTAATAGCCTAGTGTTTTCAGTAGTTGACCATTATTGTATTCTGCTTTCTGAAAAAAATATATTTCTCACTATTCTGTGAATTTAAAACCTTGAAAAAAAAGAAAATGTACTGTATGTATAAGATTTCTATTTTGAGTACTATACAATTTCTTTTTAAGTACAGCAAAAATTAGTAGTATATAGTGTACCGAAAACCAGACCTTCATCTTAATTTCTTCATTTATTTTTACGGTATAAGGCATTTGAATGATCCATAAAATATCAGTATAAAGAATAGTATAAAGTATAGGAAGAGTTTAAAGAAACCAGATAAGAGATCTGCCTGAATTCCTGCAAGCTATTGGAACAAAGGATAATTAAAGAAAGGGTCTAATAGGAAGGGTTAAAAAAACAACAACTGTTGTTTGATAAGGACAAGAGTCAATGTTGAAGAACATTTATTCAACAACAGCAAATCAGATCAATGATCCACTTGTTTTCTTCCAGACACACGATTACCATGCTACAACATAAAGGTTAAGGTTTATATTTTATATGGGCCAAGTGTATGTACAAGCGACCTTAACCATTAAACCCATTCTGAGCTAAATTTAATGGTTGCATTACAACACCATACCACTTAAAATGATAGGAAATCATCCTTTGGAAGATGACAAAGTATGATATAAAACAAAATTTCAAAAATGCATCATAGAACCGTTTCACTATAGTTACACTATATACGATGTAGTCTTTTTATGGAATCATTTCCTGATCATTGATCCATTATAATTTTTTAAACACACAGTGCATTCAACTTAGAACATTTACAGTAGCATTTTTCAGTATTTCAATGAAAAAGCCATGACGTCTATGTTTCATCAGAGGTTACAGGAAACATCATACAAGGGCCACAGAGGTCAACATCCATACCATTAATAGCAGAGGGTGGGCTACAGGGGCTCACCGATTGTAAACCATTGAAACACATTATTAGCAGAGATGAAAAAATGGCAACGATGTTAATGGCGTTTTATGGCAAATATGTGTGGCGATGTATGCAAAATGAGCAGTGAAAAGGAATTTCTCAGTGCTGCCAGTAGCACTGGCTCACGCACGATATGCCTGACGAGCTTCTTGCTCTAAAAAGGATCTTAAAAAGTCGACAGAGACAAACGATCACAGCATCGGACAAAGTACCAGCCACATCGGACTTTGGCTCAAAACACACACACACACACACGCAAAGATGCAATGAGGTTAAAAATAACAAAAGAGTGTGACATTTCCTTTCCTTTTTTTTTTTTTTTTTACATCCTATCGGCATCTTATTATATTCAGTCATGTCACACTCTGCACTGCAGCTGATGAAGACCTGTTAAATCTGCTGTCTCGTGATGCTGGTTTGACTCAGCTGGATGAACCGGGGCTGCAACACAAAGAATTGAAGCCACAGCAGGAAAGAGCTCTGCTGATTATTCATTAGTTGTGGTGTTTTTCCATTTTTTTAAATACATTTTATCAAAAGAAAAAACAGATATGAGAAGCACGGTCAGATACCAGGGGGCCAAGGTGTTTTACCAAAGTAGGAAAATAAACATTTAAATAAATAAACCCCCGGTCTAGTAATGATCACAAAATCAATTAATGCTGCCATTTTTTCTGAGATTCCGTCTAAATTTGTGCATCCATCAAGTACTACTATTATCACTGAAGCACACCAAATTGTATTAGGACTGAAAGACTTAAGAAAGTAATTCAAATTTTTCTTTGATGATCATGAGGAAGCGATTTGGGGAAAGTCATCTGCCCTGCATTGACAGGTTAGGAAAAACTGACCTGCAAACGAACACGCACGGTGCCAAAGACGGCAGGTGGCGCACTCTGCCGAAAAGACACTGATCGCAAATCAGAAGCGCAAAGCCTAAAATGTGGATGGCGTTTCAGTTCTCGACGTTTTTGGTGACGGCCCTGAGCGACAAACGCACCTCCCTGAGCCCTCTCTCTCTCTCTCTCTCTCTCTCTCTCTCTCTCTCTCTCTCTCTCTCCGATCCCTCGGCATAAAACATCTTATAAACGTCCCCCTCGCCCTCCCCTTACGAGCTGGACTCGTTCAAAAGGTTGCCGCGCACACATTATGAGTCTCGCTAAAGAAAAAATGTTGCTAAGGTGTACAAAAGAATAAATAAAAGAAAAAAATCGGACACAATGTTTTTTCGACAGTGCATGCTACACCATGATGCAAACTACGAGGAGGGGAAGGTTGGGCAGGCGAACTGTGCGATTCAAGGCGAAGGAATACAAAAGAAGACATAAAAGGGAAACAACTGAGTCGTTTCTCTTTTCTTCTTGTGCTAGGGGGGGGGAAATACGACCGGGGAAGGGTGCAAGGGGTGTGACTTCTTTAGTTCCGTTCACGGGGCCATGCTCACTAGTCCCTCTCCTCTGCATGGCTCTCTTTCTGTACTGGAAAGATGGATTGCCTCTTTCTCTCATCGCACTAAAAGTGGAGCAGGGAAGCAGGCGGGACCCCCGGGCCAGGACTCGACGGGAGCGCGGGGGTTAGTTGAAGCCGGTGTCGGTGTTGTAGGAGTAGTGCCCGTCCGATGTTAGCTGGGTGGTCTCTGTCGCTGAGGGCTGCAGCACTATGGGGTCGCCGCCAGCCTCTGCTTTGAGAAAAGGGAAGCCAACACTCTTCAGGCCACCGTCCCCCGCCCGGCCACCTCCGGACGCAGAGGGCCCCGCTCGGACTCACCTCTCTCGTCGGACTGCAGCTGAGCCTCCAGGTCCTCGGGCGACACGTAGAAGTCCTGCTCCTGGCCCTCCCTGGGCCGGGGTTTACATCTCCCGCAGCAGCAGTTACAGCAGCAGCACAGGCAGCAGCAGAAGTAGCATCCGGTGGCCAGGCCACAGAAGACGAACAGCGCCTGCGGACGAAAAAAACGCCTCATCAAAACCCAGGCTACGGCTACAGCGGACAGGACGCCACAGGCTCGGAAGTGTGCGCTCCCCTCACCTTTGCCCACCAGCTTGAGAGGACAAAGTAAGTGTTGACGTTCTCCTCTCCGAACTGCTCGGCCACATACAGCCCCAGGGAGCCGTATTTGTCGTAAATGTTGCGCTTTGTGGGGTCGTTCAGAATGGCGTGGGCATTGTTGATCTCCTTGAACTTATCCGCGGCCTCCGGATTGTCGGGGTTCTTGTCGGGGTGAAACTTTAACGCCAGTTTCCTGTTACAGAGATGACACAGAAAGCCAAAGACCAATGAGAGGAACTACAAGGACAGCCGATGGGAATTCGGCCATCGGTTCAGAGGTTTCAGATGAATCAGGCTTTCCTGTAAGGGTTGGGGGGGAGGGGTGTGGGGGGGATGCCTCACCTATAAGATCTCTTAATATCATCCGACGTTGCCACCTTGTCCACCCCCAGCACGTGGTAGAGGGACTCCCCGGCAGTGGACAGAGATCGCTGTCTCTGCTGCTCGGCCATGATGCTTCAAGCTGGACACAGAAATGAGAAAAAACTGAAGACAACAGTTTGGAAATACACCTGGGGTAAAGGGGCCCGTGACACTTAAAGGTGAAAGCTGCTGCCTACAGATGCTCAGGCTCTGCCTCCTTTAAACACAACCACACGACAAACAGCCCGGCGAGGAAACATACGACACAGAGAGGTCGACGAGGGGGCTAACTGCTGCTGATTGGATTAATTGCATCTTCCTTTGCAGATTTTCAGAGAGGTTGCAGCAGAGACATAAACCCTTCTAGCTGATTATACCCATACTGTCGGCATCTTGGCAGGGGCCAGCGATGCCTACACTGCTTTAAGTAAATGAATGAGAGGCAGAGTGATGAGCAGCAACAGGGCAGGGTTTATAAAAAAATAACAATAAAAAAAAGAATATTGCAAGAACAAATAAAAAAAGATGAGAAAAAAGGGTTTGGCAAGACAATAAGAGTCATCAAGCAATTACAGCTGCTTCCAAATGGGTGTCATCCCGACACAAATGAAAAGGCACCTACTTGAAGGCCTCTAAAATAACGTGTCTTTTCATTATTTAAAAAAAAAAAAATTTACATCTTGCCAAAAGTAATTAATCTTGGCTTGGCTGTCAATTCTCATCTCTTGAGGAATCTGCGCGCGGATGGTCTCGCGGAAAGGATTAGGCACCAGGGGTGCGCAGGCTGAGGGGCATAATCTCTGAGCCAGCCTCATCAGCTGCACTGCTACAGACAGCATCCATGTTGGGTTTTGCTTCCCGGCCTGCTCGTGATGCAGGGCAGGGATGGATCGTCAGCAGGAATTTTTCAAGGGCAACGGACCGCGGTCCGGAGGAGGAAGGGGGACGGGATGGGCACGCGCGTGGACGCTCACCTTTCCGCGGACTGTGATGCGCTGCTGAACGGACGCTCCCGAAAACGCTGTGGCTGCAGACGGTGGGACTATGGTCGCATCGCGCACGTACCAGGACCCTCTCTACTACACGACCATGGACAGATGCAGCAGACGCCGGCTCCGCCCCCTGACAGCGCGCGACGTGCGCGTGCACGGAGGGATGCGAGGCGTGACGCTGAAAACTCCATCACTACGCACACCAAATAATAAAACGCTATCTGTGTATGAATTTGACCTTAAATAGATACTAATTATTCATTATTTATAAAAAGCTATAAATATTTTAGACGCTGCTGTTTAAACTGTTTCACTTTGGGGCCTTAGAGCTTGTTTTTATCTGCCAAAACCAATGAAAACCTTGAACAAAGTACATTATTTTTTTGTATCGGTCTATTCTGTAATGCATCCGCATAAAACTATATTCATAATGTGAATATGTTATAAAAATGTAATTCAAAACGCAGCAGTTATTTTTAAACAGCTTTGTAAAAAGTAACAGTTTGTCAAAAGCTGGAATATTTTCACATAATAATGTATTTCTGTCTTATTTATAACCTGGAAAGGCTTTTTCAAAAATGAAAAAATTATAAAGTTTTATTACTGGAGATGTGCCTGTGTGTGTGTGTGTGTGTGTGTGTGTGTGTGTGTGTGTGTGTGTGTGTGTGTGTGTGTGTGTGTGTGTGTGTGTGTGGGTGTGTGTGTGTGTGTGTGTGTGTGTGTGTGTGTGTGTGTGTGTGTG